GGGAAAACCATAGGCAGTGTTAGTCTTAATAATAATACATTTCAAGTGCTTTTTGGCTTTAGGCTCTAAACAAGATTTCGAGAAAAAAAACTGCTTATTTAGCAAGAAAAATTTACAAAAATCGATATCATTACTGCCGTCTACTTTGGTAAAGGAAGTTGCACTTCCACAATGGGAATCAAACTGGATTGCTAAACATGAAATCCCATGAGCATAATAAAAAAACAGTGAAGTGGTAGCACATAGGTTTTATAGTCCAAAGGGACAAAGTATTAACATCGTACATGTTAATTGTCTTATTCATGATGTCGCATACTGTACAGTTATAGATATTAACATGAAAAGAGACAAAAGTTGTTAAGGAAAGAGAGGCAAGCAGGCGCATGATTGGGAAACCTACGAATCATGTCGACTAAATATTTAAAATGCAAGTCAAGCATTCACAAAACGCATACGTGCAGACTTGTTTTCCCCTCTTAAATCATACAAACACATACACAGGAGTAGAAAAAAGGGACATCTTATTTAGCTCAGCAGCCCCCTAGGTTGATACAATATGCCCTGAGGAGCTCCGCGTGCATCCTTGAAGATTGTATTTCTGGATTGTGTGACTCACTCACACAGCTGCCTTTTGCTTTTCCTGGGCCAGGGGCTGGCGTGGATAATTAGGGGAGGAAAACTAAAGTGGTCCGAGGACGCACAAAGGATTTCTAATGAGCTGTTTAGATTCCTCCATTTCTGCGAACAACGGAGGTAGCGCTCTGGCGCACTTGTAAACCGCAGCACTATCTCTTATCAGATCTATAGATCCCCGTGATGCTTCTGAGCGTCCTGCCGCAGTGGAGTTTAATGGGACGGCCAGAGACTCAACAGCCTGAAGGATCTGTCCAATATTAGTGCAGAGAAGGCTTCAGACTCCACGGTCCAGCATAAGGTGGTCCACATTGAAGAAAAGAAGAATGTTGGAGCTGTAAGTGCACGTACTGTACAGCTGTTGAGTTAAACTCGTGTTTAATTTAATGTTGATTTCACATTAAACATAGTGTTACATTGAATTATTTATGTTTAGTGTCAGAATTGGCATTGGCTGCTTCCCTATAAGTCCATTATTAATACACTAACTCCATTAGATCAAATGATGCATTTTAAATATTGAAAGTGGCAGGTGATGTCAAGGGCAGTGAGAGCCATCATTTGGTTTAGAGAGGCGTGTATTATGGCAATAAATCCCTCCACCTGTCACATCAACATGTAAGGTCGGGATTTAATATCTGGATAGCAAAAATGCTCCTATCAGTGCTTTGGCGTGATGCGAGATCAGAACACCATCTGTTGAGAAGCAGCAATAAAAAAGGAACGTCTTTAATTTCACTCCTTGCTGGAATAATTGGGCTATTTATATTCCCCACTTCATGATTTAAGAGAGGAGCAAGGGGAAAAGTCGATATTGGGACTATACAGGCAGCAGCATTTCAGCCATCATCTTGTCGAAGTCACTTTGCTGCTATGATTTATGTATGGCCTTGCTACACGGCTTCACTAGGTAGCGCCACAGGAATATATCCCGCTCCCTGCCATTAATCCTTCCCCCTGATAACCTCAACATGCAAGCAAGCTCCATCCTAAATCATGTGCCGTCACCTCCACCCTCCATCCAGGTGCTATGAACATGCCTTCACCCCCACCCAAAACCTCTCAAATACTTTGCATCTACAGGGCGATCCTGAACTGGGGCAGCAGACTGACTCTTTGACCCTTTCTGACAACCTTAATATTTCAACCCTCCCTCTTTCTCTACACGGACAGACTGGGAATGTTCAGACGGTAACCATTTGCAAACTATGTTATTAAGCAGGGGGAAATTATTAAATGATTACCACTAATTTAGCCTTTGATGTAAGAATCTATACTCAAGCTGATTAAAACGTCCAATTAGACTAATTTAAACACTTACTTTAAACATTTACATAGACAGAACCTGCTTCTCTCCTTAATTATTGTTTACTAATCAATCTGATAAACCAACACCTTTTTTTACAAAATATCTTATACTGCTTGTTCTCCCTGTAGAGAATTTGAAAAGGGCAGAATATGAGAGATCTCCATCTAAAAGTCACACGTCGCCTTTGTCTGCAACCTTTCTGACCCACTTGAGTACAATAGTCTCACATTTATATTAAAATACTTATGAGTTCCCATACATCACAAATTTGACCTTCCTAAAGCGCAGCAGGAAACTCTATTACTCCAGCTTTGCCCTGTGGTTCTCCAGCTCCCCTTTCCCCATTTCCACCTCCAACGTCTTTTTCTTGGTGACTTCTCGCCCAATGACGTGTGAGCGGTAATTTGTCATGTCCCTCTAAGCATAACCAACACTAGATGGCAGGGCCCCTGGAGCACCAGCTACTGTGCTACATGTACCTGAACCACCAGCACTTGCGCTTACATAATAGCAGGTTCTGAGAAAAGGCAGGGGGATGGAAGAAGTCTATACACAACAAGGGAATACAAGAGAGAAAAAGCTCCCTGCGATCCTGCAAAGGAGGAAGAGCTGCATTAATCATGACAATACCTTGAAAAGACAACCTCCATTACATCAGTGGAAGGAGACAGCCTCTCGGAGAGGAAAAGCTCAATGCTGCTGAATGTACCAGGCTGATCTTGCTTGAGGGGTTCTGGAAGGAAGGGCTGTGGCTTCCTGTGCAGGCAGCCCAGCCTACAGTACTTCCCATGAAATTATGCAGACAGGACATTCAAAACTGTAGCCCTAGCCTTTGACAAGATTAGCTCCTTAAAGAGACGCTTTCGTCATAGAAAATCTTGAACTTTGCCCAACATTTTTAAATGTACTAGTCCAGCGGAACTGCAAATGGGGACAACATTGGAAAATTGGTTATGATGGGACTTCATCAAATGCCATTCCATGTAGTTCTCTTGGGAGTCATTCTTAATGGAGTAAGCGTGAGCAATCGAGCAATGCTGGTAATTTTGCATCATGTCACAATTGTTTTACCTTGAACAGGTTTACACATGTTATCTATGGTGAAGCTAGACCCGGGTCCTGCTCAACAACAAGATTGCATTGACAGCGACATCACAGCTATCACACGACACCTTGCATTTCTGCTGTGAACAGACCGCCTAGGCAAGACGATGAGCACGAAAACCAATTACGCAAGGAAGGACATAAAAGAGGAAAATGCAAATTGAACGATAAAAGCCCCTCGTGTGGGCAAAAGGGAGCATGGCTGGTCTGGCTGTGCCTCAGAGCTACGCTGCAAAAAGGCTTGAGAGCTCTGCTGTGAGGTGATCAAATAAAGGGGACCACGCTTATAATAGCCCACAATATCTTCACACATCACAGCCTCACACATCTGCACTCACCGGGCGTGTTAACTGTATTTTGCTCTTTTCTCCCTTCATCTTTTTCTCTCCTTTTATCCACTCCCTCCATAATCTATTTATGTATGTATCTTACTCCCCACAGAACAACACCAGCATCAGCACTTAGTATCTCATCGGTTACAAGGAGACAGGTCACACACGGCATACTGTCAGTGTAAAACTGGAAAATGTATCTTCCTCCTGCAGTGGTATCCCACAAGGAGCCCGAAGAATGTAGTGCTGAAGGTCGACACCAACATCACACTGGAGGTAATGAGGTGTGCACCATCCCTGCATGCTCTCCAGATCTCATTTCCAGTAAGGGTCTCTTAGGGGAGGTTTACATGGACACAATGGGGGGGGGGAGACCACTGTGCCTTATACAAACAGATCAATAGCTAAACAAATCAATTGCCACCAGCCTATTTACATGTAATGGCTACATATCGCTGTTGTCAATGCCTGGTTGTTATAGTGTTAATAAAGAGATATGCAAAACCATCTCTCACAGCAGGCTGTTTTTGCTGACTTGCCCATGCAGCAAAAATAATAACACACATCTGCGTTTACAAGGGTATCAGGTCTATTAGTCCTTTCTGATTTCCCCCCCGCTCTCATTTTGTCCTCTTTGTCATTCATGAATCAAGGCCGCCCAGGCCACTCCCTCCCGGTTGTATGTCCTCTACTGAGAGGAGAGGGAAGACAGGGTAGCAGCTGTGAGTTTTAGGCTCCTGCTGACTGAGGCCTGATGAAGACGATGCCCCGGGGAGGGTCAGTATTGGCTTGGTCGGTTACACATGCTACTCTGGACCATAATACATAAACAAACCAAGCTTCAAAGAACAAAAGTCTGACCAATCCTCTGGTCATAATGATAATGGATTATTCTTCTCTCCCAATTGTGTATTTGTAAAGCGCTTTGAGCATCTGGAAAAGCGCTATAATAAATGTAAGGAATTATTATTATTATTATTAATTAAACTACCCTTCCTAATTGAGTAGTAGGGTTATCTTTTAAATGTTATATAGATTTTGCAACGTGGTCATTTCTTATCTATTAACAACACCTGTTTTGCATTGTGATGACTGAGCAGCTAGATTTTTAATTTGTTGGTTAGTTGGAATTACACAGCAAGAATATTTCCCAAAATTCTGAATAAGGTCTCAAAAACAAATCACTCTTTATAGCCACCACCTGCTTAAGCTACAAAGCCCTTCTGCAAAACGTTTAGCTTATTAACGTTGCAATTGTTTTCCTTATTTTTATTAAGTTAAGTTAAAGTATTAATTTCACAAAAATCAATTGCTGAGACAGGAAATAAAAAAAGTTATATTCTCAATAGTAATAGTCATACAATAAACTAAAAAAAAAAAGAAGAAAAAAAAAAGAAATGTAATCATTCCTGGAATAATAAGGGGAAGTATTTTTTTTAAGGGAAAGAGCTTTGAAGAGTTCACATTTGCTTGGACATTGTATCTATAAAGACCGATTTTGGCTGAAATATGAAACATAGATTAATTTAAATACGTTCAGACAATACGAAACAAGTAGCTAATTAGCTAGCTAATTTAAAGTAGAAACGGTTCAGCAGGCTGTATGAAACGCGATGAGTAACGGTTGACTGTTGTCATGACAGTAGGGAGTGACAGAAGTATAGTAGCAGTCGGTGATGAACAACCGTTTATGAAGTTGTTGTGAGGCAGAGACCGCTATTCTCCAGCACACACACCGGAGAGGGGGGAGAGAGAGAGAGAGAGAGGAGAGAGAGAGAAAGAGAGAGGCGAGAGAAAGAGCGCTACGGTTATTTCTCCCAGGCTCCGGTCATGCCTGTGTGGTCGCTGGAGCAGGGATGTCCTCTCAAACACTGTCGCTGAGAAAATGGATGTGTTGAACGGACCCGCGAACCGGGCTGAATCCTCCTCACCAGCCGACTGTGTTTCCCTGAGTGACTGTGTGTGTTTGCACGACCACTGCGAACAACGTGACGCGCCAGCTCTGCACCAGCCGGGGTAAGGAATTATTTCAACACCGCTTTCCCCCCTGCTCGGATCATAAACAACAGCAAACAAATAGGACTGTACGTCGAACTTATTTTTTTAAAGCAGGCTTGCCTATTTATTTAGATTTTAAAAGACTACATTTCCGATTCTACTTTAACGAAGTCCGACAAAATAGTATTAACCCAAAATGTGTTACATTTATAAAGTTTAATATTGGCGGCAGAAGAAAATGCCATTTAATTTTAAGCTAACGTTCTGTAACTGTTAAAATGGTATGCAAAAATGTTGAGGAAAACAGCAATTAAATTAAAGAGGTGGAATATAGAGTAAGTGAGAGCACTGCAGCTTTAAGTCCACATTGCTATTGAGCATTGAAAATACCAAACTCATTTCTCCCACTCCTATAACATCTCCATGGGGCTCTGGTAAGGAGAAGGAGAGCACGTAGAAAATGCATGCAGAATAACACCAGTGTTTGGCTTACCCACTGTAAAGTCAGTCAGAGCCAGCTCTTACCACTTGTGCTTCATGCTGCCCTTTGTTTCAAGCCAGAAAAGTCTGCACTTGTGTTAGGTGAATGAGGGGGGGGAAGAAGGAGGGAGAGCACAATTCAATTTCTCATTTCACTCTCCTCCAGTCCAGGGGAACCGCAGTTGAAGGGCTGAGGAACTGGAGATTTGACTGACAGCTGGTACACCGCTTACAGAAGGGGGAGAGAGGCGGCTGGGCAGTGGGGTCGTCGAGCCTGGCTGGCGCTGGGTGAATGCTGCCTGGAGAGGACAGGGGCTGAGGAGAAGGCGGCAGCATCAACTCGATAAGGAGCATGGCATCCACGGGCATGCAGATATTTGGATTTGTCCTTGCGCTGTTGGGCATCATGGGTGCTATGGTTGCCACTCTGCTGCCCAACTGGAAGGTCAGCGCAGATGTGGGCTCCAACATCATCACAGCCATTTCCCAGATGCAGGGTCTGTGGATGGACTGCACATGGTACAGCACCGGCATGTTCAGCTGCACACTCAAGTACTCTGTGCTTTCACTACCTGCGTACCTGCAGACTGCCCGCACCACCATGGTGCTCTGCTGCGTGATGGCTGCCATGGGCCTCTGCCTTGCATCCCTGGGACTAAAATGCACACGTTGGGGAGGTGGACGGCGCTCCAAGCGACACGCTGCCATTGCCAGTGGCGGCTGCTTTGTCGCTGCAGGTTTTCTGTGTCTGGTGCCGGCTTCCTGGTTTACCAACGAGGTCATCACCAACTTCCTAGACTCCAATGTGCCCGAGAGCAATAAGTTTGAGCCTGGGGGTGCTGTGTACGTGGCCTTTGTTTCAGCTGGATTCCTTTTTGTCGGTGGGTCCATCTTCTGTATGTCCTGCTCGGGGAAAAGGCATGGCCCCCAGGACATGGTCCTGCTCCCTCCCCCTGACAAACTGCTGTTCCAGCAGCAGCAGCAACAGCTGCTCCAGCAGGAGCTCCAGCACCAGTACTGCTCTCTCTCACCATTAGACAATAAGACCGGCTACAGCCTGCAGGACTATGTGTAATAAAGCAGCACTGTGTACGCTACGGCTAAAGGGAGACGAGCCTGAGGGGGATCCATCACGGCTTATGCTACACACTAAGGCTCCTCTCCAGATGGAGGTGGAGGATGGCAACAACTTTGAATTCATTTTCCCTTCTCCTCTATCTTGTTCTTCTCTCTTTTTCTGTTTTGCAAGCACAAGCAGTGGAGGTATTCCCTAAGCAGCACCTTGGAACAAACAGTGTGAATGTGTAAGAGCCGGGAGAAGGTGCTGCAGCATCGAAGGAAGCCGCTAACCAAATGCAGACATCTTTCATCAGTAAATCACAGAAAGAGTTCCCTCGAGGATGGAAAAAAGCAATCATTTAGCTGCTATTTAGACGGTCTATTTACAATCGTCTGTTACCCTCTTAATTTCCAAAATAGGCATTTTAATGCCTACGAAATCTTTTCATAGCAAGCCATTGTAGATTTTCGTAAACTTATCCACTAGAATGCTACGAGGAATCGATTGAAATAAATAGTCATATTTTTGTTAGCTACTAGAATGATGTTGATATTTTGCCTCTAAAGCATGCTGTGTGGAGCCTGTCTGTGTATTAATACAGCGGCATGCCTGCCTGGTAGAAGACTGAGACATAGCCACAAAATGCCTGTGCCTGAAAAGCTGTAGAAACATTACCCTGCTGTAACTGTTCAAAGAGGACTGTCGAGGACGAGATGTGGACTGCTGGGCTGGAGAACAGACAGAAGATGCAGACTAACAGTTGCCTGTTTCTCTCTGCGGCGGACAATATGAGAGAGACGGAGAGAAATTGATAGAAAGAGATACAACCTTTAAGCAGAGTGGACTATCTGCTGTTTAATATTTACATCAAGACAAAAACATATTGCCTGTAAGTAGCAGCCACAGATCATTACCCATTCCTGCACGCCCTCATAGACATGCACACCACACTCTCACTCGTGTGTGTTTTTGTACACAGTAAACACTCAGACATGCCGGCTTTCTGCATGTGCTTTTCACATTCCTCCCCCGCACTGCCATGGAAACAGAATTCAGCATTCAAATATCTGTATTGTCCGGGGGTACATGCATGTCAGTCATTGATTTGGAGTTGTTTACGGGGGCATCTTTCGCTCGAGGCATGGCTCCAAAGGCTTTAAATCAGAGCCTTAGCTCACACTACTTTCACTAATCCCCTTTATTAGTCAGTGACATGAGGCAGCATCCCTTTTACACGGTCACAGGTTTTGGAAAATGCTGCTATGGTGTCTATACCATGCGAGCAATCTCACAGGGATGAGCGGATGTTTAATGGTGCATTGGCAGGCTGGCGAGGAGTAGGCGGAAAAGGGGAAGCTTCTTGAGACAAGGTCTGCTGGGTTGCTGTAAGGCAGGCAACTTAAAAAAAGGTAAGAGTCATTCTCCATATGTGACTTGTTTTCAAAGTGCGTCAGCAGTGCGCATATGCTACAAGTCTGCACCTGCAGAGGGTCTCAGTTTCTTACATTGAAACCACTTGACTGAGCCACCATTCTTCTCTTTTCTACCTGCCACTCTCACATTTGTTCCCCTCTGTGCTGTCTGTGTCACATGAATGTGAACGCTGACAAGAGAAAGCTGATGCATGTTGAAAGCATGGCCACCCCGATGCACACGCGCTCATCACCAAATCTCCCACCTACTCATATGTCAGTAGCACTGTTACGCTTTCCGACAGTGATGAGTCTTCTGCTTGTTACTGAGGGAGGGATATATGAGGTTTTCCTGCTGGAGACAGGCCTTGGCAGTGATGTAAAGAACAGCACATTCTCTCCTTCTCTCTCATAAACATGCAGCTTCCTGGGGGGGGAGCAGATGGCAAAGCCCAGCTCGCCACCTGCAGGCTGCTGCCGGCACGCCACGGGCATCTCTGTGGGCACCACTCTAGAGCCAGGTTTCTACCCCACCCCGACTTATCTTGCCCAGCATCGACGACAGCCGACAGAACGGGCCTCCTGACAAAAGCTCACTGCCCAGGCACCATAACCAATGCAATAAACAAAGAAGAATGTGCCATGTCATCGACTTATACCGACACACGTTATGTGTTTTGAGAATGTGCCAAATCGTTTCATGATGACACGTTTAATACTATCTGGAGTTCTTTGGGTTTATTTTTTTATTGCGTTGTTTGTACATGAATTATACATCAGCAAATGTTTTATGGATTTGTGATTTGTTCTGCTAGACTTAAGTCTCAAGTCGACTAGATGCTTGTGTACGGTCCAGTGCAGCTTTCGAGTTTTGAGGGTTATTTTAAATCCTCTTTATTCCTCATTTCCCAAAGCACAGCAAGACTTCCCCGGGATAAGAGTTTCATTGGAAAGACATGTGTGGTATTTTCTATATATATATTTTGTATTTGTTTCAGGATTTCTGGTTTTACTTTAAGTCTGTGACAACTGTACACAAGTATCTGGGCTTTCGATGTGTTTGTTTAAACTGAGGGATCAGGATTCTCTCACATTGTTTCAATATAAAATACAATTTCATGTTCATATCTTCTTTATAAGAAGACTCCTCGATGCACCTTTGCTTGTGTTACTTTATTCAACAGGAGTTTGTTACCAACGGCTGAGCATTCCAATATCCCTGGACCAATACATAACACTTGGGCACGCTGGAAAACAAAAAGGGAACTTTCTGTCTGGATTCAGAAAGAGAATAGGAGCTATAGATCAGCACGTGATTCCATTAGCTTATAATCGGCCATAGTGCAAGGTGACTAGGTCCTAAAAGTTCAAAAGAGTTAATACTCCTGCGTATACTGTACCAAAACATTGGTTTATCATTTTGATAACTGCAGCTTATTTTTGTGAATGCTTTAGCACTTCTTACTTTGCCAGAGCATATTTGTGATGATTAACAGTTCACAGGTTCTGATACAGTTGTCTCAATGTGCTTGTGCAAGTAGTTCTATTTTTTACCAATAAAACTATTTTGTGAAAGCAACTTGCCTACTGCAGGTGGTCTGTGTGCAATCTTTCATGAGTGGGGTTGATAAGGATGGAGATAGCATTCATCTCCTCTGCCAAATGTACAGATTGTTGGATAGTGCAGGCTGTGCCGGGTGGAGCTGACATGCTGCTCATACGCAGAGTACAGCAGCATCAGTACGACTCAAATATGCATCCATAAACATTGCTATGTGGAGATGGGTTTGAATTCTTCCTTTCTATGAGGTTAATGGTTAGCTCTGTTGTCAGGTGTATCTGACACAAAGTCAAGAGGGACAACATGTTGGTAATCATTAAAGATCAATAAAGGGCCCGTCAGATGACAGCTGGGATTTAATACTAACAGTACACTACACCAATATGTATCTTATTATTATTATTAGCTGGCTGATTCAAAACTAATTGTTGGACAGAAATTCAAGAATTATGTGTCTACATTTCATATTTTGATCCCCCAGAAAGCACTGAGAAGCAGAGCTGAAACCATCAGTCGATCAATCAATCGGTTAGTTTATGAACAGATAAATGATCTGATAACCGATTTATTGTCAATCATTCCAGGTACTTTATTTGGAGGATGAGCTGCTTTTATCTGTCTTATGTGATTACAAATTGAATGTCTTTAGGTTTTGAGCAAAAAAAAACATGCACTTTAATGACAAGCTTTAGGAAACTGTATTTGGCATGACTATTTTCTGACATGTTCCAAATGATTAATTAAGAAAATTATTATTATTATTATAATGATTATTTTTTAACTGTAAATGGTCCTGCTGAGTACAACGCTTAGTAACTTCATTCAATCGATTCCTATAAAGATATTTTGTTAAGGTTATTTTTTCTATAAAAGACGGATATTGGCTGATAAATATTGTTATTATTATATAATTATTGGCCTTTAAAATAATGTATTGGTTAGTAAAGATGCAACCATTAATCACTTCATTTAGTAAATAAGGGACAGATAATTTGATCATGAAAATAATCTGCAGTAGATTGCAGCCCCGTCATTTAGGCTTTAATCCAGAAAAGGAAGAAACAAAAATGTGAATTATCTCTTGGAAAGACAATCTTGAATTTCATAGAAAACATCTCGTCCTGAAAATGTGTTTCATAATATCGGCTTTGACTGAATAAAGACGTCTCTAGGAGCTTGTTTTAAATCTGAATTTTGAACAGTATGTTATCCCACTTTCATATCTCCGTCATGCTGTAGCCTATACACATCAGAAGCTTATTTAATAGTTACCGATCAAGTGTTTCTGAGCTCTCGTTACAGCTGATTGGAGCCTTATCTACACCCACCGAGTGAGAATGTGCTTTTCTGAAACAAACATGGATTATTCACGGCTCTCCCTCATTCTCCCACTCCTCTTGGTTATGCAACAAGAGTGCAGATCAAATAATCACTCCTCTCGCGGGGAAACGCTAATAAGATCTGCTCCTCTGTGTATTTAACCTACATTTTCCATCAAAAAGGCTTTCACCCCGAGTTGCCGCTATGACAGATCTGAAGTGTGTAAGAGGAGGTGAGCGCTTCTCAATCAGAGGCTAATCATGCGTCAGGAGAATCTTTGAACTTCATTGCCATGTCAAATTCATAGCTTACAATACTGACCTTCTTGACCAGCAAATAACCTTTGCAACTGCATACAAAAAAAGGTGTGGAAGACAATGAAGCGCTGACTGGGAGTGTTCGTATGTCACGATGGTAGACACAAACAGCGAGACGGATATCAGAGCATGTTAAGGAACTGTCATTCCATCGCTCACTATTAGCGATCACCACAGTGAGCACCCGAATGGCTCCAGTTTGTCACCATACCTAATGTCTGGGCTCTTTGTTCTGGACAGCTGTTATGCTCATGAAGGTTCATACTGGAGATATGTGGCCATCAACGCTGAGGAAGAATGACCTTCCTTTGTTGTTCGCCTCTGGTCCCAGTGCTCGTGTGAGGCTGGGGAATAATAGCAACGACCTTGGCTGGGGCGGTTAACTGCTGAGAAAGGCAGTAAAAGCTATGGAGATGACAAAAGGATCGCTTGTGGGAAAACAATACAGTCTGACAGTTCAAAAGGAGGCCCTTTAATATTTTAGCTTTGAGCACGGGGTGGGATGCGTGGCTGGGAGGACTCAGTGAGCTGAAAGTGAGGGAGGCTAAATAGTTTAAAATCTGTATTTCTCTTGATGATCATCATGAGCTTATTGTTTTGTATTACAGAGGACTACAGTGGATAAGAGCCAGAAACACGATAACAAGAGAAGGCAGGGGAATACTTTCACACATGGACAGAAACATTTATGCAATTGTAAATGTAGCCTATTATGCTCATCTTCAGGTTCATAAAGCATAATAGGGGCCTTTTAACTTGTTTTTGATGAAATAATCCTCATAGCTGATGATTTCTATGATATAATACGACCTGTACTGGTATGACACCACATCAAATCTCCCACTAAAAAATAACAATGAATGATGCTTAACTTAGAGCGTTAAAATAAACCTTCACGTTCATATTTTAGAGGTTGATGCCTCCCATTGTGGCAAGCTTTTGTTTCAACGACTTCATTTGTTATTGCATCATAGCACCGCTGGCAATTACTTATTTGAAGCTGACCTTCTTTCCTTGGGATATAGTCAGGGTTTTAGCATTATCCCTCAAAGTACATGCATATTCTCCTGGCATGCTCACCAACTAAACAGAGCTGAATTTGCTAAACTCTGAACGCTGACTCTGAGCGAACCCGGCACAGTTTCTTGTTAGGCGGAGCACTAGATCTCTGGAGATGTTCATAAGCCAACTCTGCAAAACTCAGCATTTTGTTTAAGAAAAGAGGAGGAGGAGAGTATTTTTAGCTTTTCTTTACCTTGGCTCCGTGATGAATTGAGACCAAGCCTTCAGGCGTTTAACGCACCGGCACGAGTCATTGAAATAACTTTGCCCGATACTCTTGATACCGTGTTTGACCCCGTTTGAGAGATAGGAATAGGCCTGGATGAATTGTGTGCCTGTGTGGCGGGAGGTGAGGAAGCACTGCCGCCCCTCGAAGTAGACTTCAGCTCTTACTGGGCCACTACAGGTCACCGAGAAGATATCCATCACTGAGCCTGCCACTGCATTACAGCGCACTGAGGTGGGTCACAGGCAACAGTGAAACACTGAATTCAAAAGGATATCATTTATTTTAAGAATGCACAGTTTTGGATTCCTCCCGATTTAAGATGAGCCAATATTTTGCAGATCCTTTTGGTGGATTGATGATACCAATAGATGCACATTTCTTCCACCTTATTACAGTAAACACTAAGTCTCAAGTCCAGAAGTGGAATTAGCATTTATATGTCTACTGTTATTGTGATGGCCCCTCTGGCATATGCAGACATCAAATCCAATGCTTTTACTCATTCACTGGGCACAAAAGAAAAACTTATTTCATTAGTAATGTTTGAAATAAATTTCAGTTTGATGCAAAAAAAAAATCTTTAAATGCCGATAGTAATAACACGCTGATATCAGGCTGCATCCCTAATTATTAACGTTTTCCAATCAAAAGGTATGTATCTGCTGGGTGTTTACCGCCAGAGTTGCATGTTTTTCTGACAACTGCCAGCCTTAATGGATGTTCAATGCAGCATTAACATATTAAAACTCGGCTCTGCTCATCTGGCGTGTGCTCTTGGCCGACGATTGTGTACAAGGCGAACAGCTGTAGGGGCTCTCGTCCTGTGAGGCTCAGTTAGTTGGCGGGTGATGGCTGATGCAGCCATTACTCAGAGCGGGCTGACGACTGGCCCAGACAACCATCTGTTGGAGGTACGCCTCGCTCTCCCTTCAGATCGATCTCTGTCATGAATCTTTCTTCCAGCGCTCTGTACTCTTGTGGGGAAAGCTTTGTAGGTTTGACATCCTTTTCCCGCTCTTGTTGAATTCCATACATCACATCTGTCCACATATGTTCTCTATTTATTTCATCTCACTGTGGTACGAGTCAGTTTCCCGTTTATCCATATGATACACAAATATGTATATCTCCACTTAGTTATCACTCCATCCTGCCAATGTATTCCTTTACCTTCAACTGTTTCTTCCCATCTCTGTCATTAAACATTTCCATCTCCCACTGCCATACTTTTGGTAATGACTAACACAGTTGCTAGCTCTGTAGGCGCTCTACAGCAGAGCCAGCATGTTGCTCGTGATGGAGAATCTATTGCACGACTTATAGACCCTGCCTGTGACGGACACAAGTTGATTTTAATCACATTCTGCCGAGGAAGCAGAGAGGCAGGGGGAGAGAGATGAGCAAGTCAACACGCACTCTTAAATCTTTCCAATCAGCCATCGTCTATGCAAAGAGGCAGTGAAGATGAAATTGGATGACTGAATGTCCGTATTGAAGATACAAATGCCTGGTAGCATTTTGCACTCGAAAACCCCTTGACCCCTGACAGGAATGCAAATTAGAAATATGTATAAGGACTAAAGCAACTGCAGGAAAGCAGCTTTTTGTCATAGCTTACTCCCTTAAAAGAGACCTAACAGATATATGTATAGCTGTGAATGACAGGAGCAATTTAAATAGTGCTCGATCTGTCCGTCTATGTGAGAATGAGCAGGAGGAGAGTGGCTAATAAGGAAAGAGAGGCAGCTGTGATCTGCAGCGGGACAGGGTTAGGGGACAGTGAGCCTCGGGGAACACCATCTTAGGCAGCCAATCGGCACTCTTAGAAACCTTCAAGGACAATCTCAGTCCGTCAATGTGACACAAGAGAGGTGCAGACCGGGGGCGAGAGGAACAAGACGGACAGATTAAACAGGAAAGATAAGAGCCTATTAGCCCCCCCCCCCCCACAGACACACGTCAATACGGGTTGCTGATTTAAAATAGATTCAACATTTCCCTTCTCATTATCCTGTTACCCCTGCACTGTCCAGCTCCTATAGATTCAACTAAAAGGTCCAACAGCCCGCCACCCCTCCAAGCCTTCAACTGGAGCCATTTCTAATCATTGTTATTTTGAACGGTTCAGTAGTTTCATTGCTTTGAATGTGGCTCTCTGTGACCCGCTGTTTGTGTGATTACACAGCATTAAAACCACTTCAAATGTTGGTTCACACTCCACTTACTGCCATATGTGTAGCATTGCACCTGCTGCTGTCTATTGTATTTGCCGTTAGGAATGTGGGGGTAGGAAAGCTAAAACAGCAACCAGGGGCATCTACAGTAGATTTCTGCACATAATTATCATGTGAACATGTGCCATGATTCACCCCCTCCTTCACAGCTGATCAGAGAGCCTCAGGTTTAGTCATTACAAAGACATGCCGATGGCAGACAATAACAATGGCCAGTTGTGCTTCAATGTGAACACATCCCCCCTCATTAACACTATCAGAGATCCAAGAGCTTCAGTGGGAATAAGATAATACCAATAATTAGATCACTGAGCCAATGTATTGGCTATAGGTACAGTATGAGTCAGTCACACATGCTGCAGTAACCGAGAGACAGAGGAAGGAAGATAGAGGGTGAGATCTTTTATATTAGCTGGTGTTACTCCTCCATTATAATGAACTTCTTCCCCTTTGCAATTTTCACTTTCACTAGTGTCTCAGCTTAGCATGAGAGCACTACAAGCCGTTTTCATTAGGCATTCAGAGAATGACAATATTCTTCTGTATTTCATATATTCCTTACTAAAAGACAAAAGTTAACTAAGAAGACAAAGGGCTGTATTTTCTATATCTGTTAATACATCATATAAATCAGCTTTTAGACAACCCACTGCTTTAGAAGTCTTTATTCCTGTGTGCCACAACCTGAAATCCCCCTTCTGCTAGCCTTTGATGTTTTCCCGTAAATCAGTCATTGTTATTGTTCACGCAATTTTGCGTAATTACTCTGGTGTGCACCAGTGAATAATGTCATGCCATAAAGCTTTTTATGAATTATAACACACGACATTCTAGTTAAAAAGGGACCTGCACAATGTGGAGGGTACGATAGCATTAATATGGTCCGTGTGCTGTGTGATCTTTTATAGGACACCAGCAGCAGAGGCCTGCTCATCAAACGGCCATCATCTCTCCTAATGATATCAATCCGACCAAGTGCCCATTAAAGCATTTAGTGGGGGGAGCTGGCCTGTGTGAGCGCATGTGGGAGGCGCTGATTCATCTGCAGTGCGTCCTCTCTGTTCATGTTTATACAGCATATACCACCTGCATGCTAACATTTGCAGCATGCAGAACTCCATTTAGCTCAAGTTTGACATGCAAGACATTGGAGAGTGAGAGGAAAAAGCCCAGAAAGGCATCCGAGTGTGATGAAATAATCATTGGGAGCCATCTCTTCTAAGAGAATGAACAATCAGCAATGGTCCCATTCACTAAATAAAATATTTACCAACAGAGGGTCTCCTAAAGAGCCATCACATCTTCAAGGGACCAACAGTCCTTCTCTGACATCTACCTAACACCTATCCTTTAATTAGGGAAAAGGAAAACACGTTTTCATTTGTAACAAAGATGTAAGAGAGCTCCGGAGTCTCTTTGAAGAGTTGTTTGTAATCTCTCTCAAAGGAGCGGACCATAAGCCAACACTGATATTTCAACATTTGCAGCAGTACTTATATTTCCTTAATGCGCCCCCTAGTCATATAAATCCTTAACCCGGCAGAAAAGAAAAACCTTTGCATTCACATGTTACATAAGTGGGTGTCTTGCTTTCACCACTGATACAAACACACATGAAGAGAGAGAAATTGTTCCCAAAAAAGAACTAGGCCCTCATTACAAGGCGCTGTGTGATTGTGCCCACAACTCAAATACCCACCAGGCATCATTAGAAACTAGAAAGGGTCCAAAGACTGAACAAAGACAACACTGATGTCTTAATGGCGCCTCAAAGCAAGAGAAGGATGAGTGATGGTGACATGATGAGGGACTCTGACGGGAGCATGGGACTAGATGAGAAAGAAAAAGCTGTGAGAGAACCCACTTTTATCCTACAGCAGGGTAGGATCTGTAAAATAGTAATGTGTCCATCTGCCCATGTTGTTCCCACAGAAACTGTTTCAATACTGCTACTAAAGGTTGAACACATTGCTTTATTTATTAGAAAGGGTGGAGTTTCATTTAGAGTGAAATCCTACCTTTGGTTTAGGGACGAAGGCCCGTCCAGGGATGGTGAAGCAGTTGTGGACGGTGCAGAGATACTGAGCCATGATGGACAGACGGCTCCTCTGTTTGCTGCCTGTGCTCGCTGTCAACCTCTGGATGAAGAGAACAACCAACACACATTAGAGATGCACATTTATTAAGACTGGGTTAGTTGTCGTTTTCATGTAATGTTGCTTTCAGTTAGGACTGGGTTCAATGAAAAAAGGATTATCTGATTCTAAGTCGATCTTCATTTGAATGATCAGATATCAATTAAATCATTTTTTTATAGATTTGGCTACGTAAGGAACAAGCAAACCACAGTTTAAATAAAACACGCTGGGAGCTGTGTCCTTTGTGGCACAGCCAAGCCTGAAGGAAGATATTTGGTTTTAAAACTATGAAGCTAGAGAAGAACTGGACAAAAGCAAAGTCATATTTAGATGGGAAAAATTGGGGTAGAATATCTCTAAATCTCTGAACACAACTTTAACAATAATGTGTATTTGTGCAATTTACAGCATTAGTTCTCCCAGAATCTCTTTCATAATCCAACCAATATTGGTATTGTAACTGATCTGTTATTTAAATGAATATTCAGCCAATTTGAGTAGGGTCCTAGTGAATAAGGAACAAAATAAATCTATTTGAAATATCAGCCTTACTTTTACGGTTAAGCAAACACGTCTAGAAAAATATTACATAAAGACCAAAAACTGGAACAAGTGTTTATTCATTATTTTGAATGTGTCATAATAGAAAAGCTCTGAATGATTTGATTGGCCTGAATGATAAAAACACAAATTCTGATTAAATATGGATCATGAAATCCAGATTTAATCATGACAATAGCAAAATAAGTACAAAACATTTTCAAAACAGTGGTGATTGCACAGCAGAGGAGCAAATAAAAGCATCGAGTAGCTTGCAGATTTTGCACATTATAAAGTATATCATGACAGATTCTTGGCAGCTGGACATATCAGCAGCATCCCCACAAATATACACCTTGAAAACTGAAACATGCCAGTGTTTACGTACCTCTGCGACCTCTTTCTGAAAGGTGAGAGTGAGTTGGGTGCGACCGAAGGCGAAGGGCCCCGTTCTATTGGCTATGTTCTCCAGCCACTTGATGATGAGGGGGGTGGAGACGTTGAAGGGGAGATTCCCTATGATGTGAAGGTTTGGAGGATCTATGGAGCCAGAAACACACAGTTAAGTTCCACATGACCACATGATAGCTTTTATATTTTCACATTCTCACCTCCATCCCATGGCTTAGAGATGGTGTCTGGGAATCCCCGGTCCATTCTGTAGGTGAGAATGTCCCCATGGACAATCCTCACCCTCCCTGGAGCTGCCTCAGACAACAGCTGTAGAAAAAGATGTGACATTAAATGAGAAAAATGAAAAGGTGTTGGGAAAAACTAATCAGTCACTCTGCGGGTGGCTAACGACGCTGCAGTTGAGAACAGATCGACTTCTCTCAAGAAGCTGACAGGTGAAGGTGTTCCAGATTGTTCTGCTTAGTGACATAATGACCTTAATGACATTGTGCATACGCCCGTGTCATTGTGGCTGCTCAATTTACCTTCAGCCCCGAGATGAAGCGTGTATCCTTCTCCACCACGAGCACGTCTGTCGCTCCGGCGTTAAGGATGGAGCGGGTGAGACCACCAGGGCCCGGACCCACCTCGCACACATGGGCGTCCCTCAAACAGCCCGCCTGACGCACTATTTTGTCTAAAAAGATGGAGATAGATGACCAACTCAATTGTGCATTTCATCAATATTTTTGCAGAGACTCTGTGATTGCATTGTAGTTAAACTCATGCATCATATAAATTAAACGATACTCCTCTATCAAATATCTTCATCACGGGTATCTAAATTGAGATTAATAGTGTGTGATGTTACAATACCTGTCTGCCTCTATGTGATGAAGATGAGGTGCATTAATCTAAGAGTCACCTTGCCCAAGGACAAGAGAGCAGATCAGACCTGCACTGCATCACTGATAATTATATTAAGGCTGAAGCTCTGCAAGGGCTGTAAACAACTGACTCCATTCACATTAGAAAGAGATCTACTCAATCTTGCCCCTACAGCAAAGCCTGTCGATTCCAATGCCTTGAAACAAGGCTATGTGGAGCTGTGCAATCAAGTACGTTGGAAAAAAAAACCACACCATTGTGCCCTCAGTGCAGACATGGTAACAAAGAACAGGAGTGACTAGGTATTGGTGCACTGCAGATAGAGCGGAAGAAAGAGAAAGCAAGAGTGAGGCAGACTTACCGGTGAGCCTCAAGTCCAACAGGAAGTTCTGTGAGAGATGTTTCTCAGCTCGCAGGTTGTACAGCTTTATGATCTCGCCTATGGTGGGCAAGGGAGGCAGACGGAAAGATGACAGTTTCGTCGAGGCAGCCATCATTCAGGTGAAAACTGTAGGAAACAAACACACAAAATGGGGAGCAACAAATCGATTTAGAAGCTGAGAGCATTAAACATGTGAAAATACCAAAAATGGCAACATAATAACCTTTCAGTTATGGTATTCAAGAGATTTCGCAAAATGTATGTTATGAGTAACCTTTTGAATTAAAGACACCAAAAGGTAATGCCTTTAGGGTAAAGTAATTGTCTCATGTTGGTAGGTCCCTGCACAAGCATGATGTGTCTGCCTTATTCTAACCTTTACATTCAAAAGGATTTAAATGTTCCCACAATTATATTGCAAATGACACAGTATGTAAAACAAAGGTTGGTCTTATCTGATGAATGTCAGTCAATTCTGTCACTTTAAATGATCCATTCCAATTACTTCTTTATCAGGTAATGGCATTGATTAACAATGTCTAGACTTAAGCTGAGGTGTCAGTGCTTAAAGGTTGCCTGTGTTGAACTTTAGTGTGTCTTATTATAAGATCTCGTGCACCACCTAGTGGTGTTATAACAGACCAACCTAAAAACACAAAATCAGATGCTTTATGAAAACTGTTACCCTGTCCATATCATAGACTGTTGTGTTATCCGACTAAATCTGAACCAAAAACCATATCCTCAACTACTGTTTTTATGAAATGCTTTACCTGACCCTAACATTACCCTAACTCTAATCATGGAGAGGGACGCTATGGGAAACATCATCTTAACGGAAGGGATGCACAATTAGAACAAAGCTAATTGTGCATCTAGAACACTTACTATTCTTTCACTCAACATATAGAAAACACATTGTAGTCTAACAATTAAACGGCCAATAACATTACAATATAATTTGGTGCACATCAATACCATTAACGGAGCAATACAACAACCTACAATAACCAATAATGATGCATTGAAACGACCTCAAACTGGAGCCAGTAACTTTTCACCCGTGTTGACAGCTGGCTGAGCTGTGTGACTCTTGAGACACAGTGGATAGCATAGCAGCTAATGTTAGCTTCTTGGTCTATAAGCTGCCAACAGAGCGCATTCAAAGGCAGTGAATTTAGGCAGAACACTTCATCTTGTTTCTAAACGCAGACATAAAACTAATAACAAATGTATAACGGTATATAACAGCGAGAGAAGCTACAAATGTAGAAGAGTTAACCCACGTTTCTCACCGGCTACGTTTTCCTCCTTCACACTTCCCTATACGTAATTTTGAGTGTCCAATGAACCTGCGAGAATTCTAATCCAAACCAATCAAATTCAAAGAGGCGGGGTTTATCTTTGCCCTTGAAAAGCCGTTCATTGTTGATGTAGTGATGCGTCAAATACAAAAGAGGGCGACAATGCGCTGATTGATTTTTGCAGTAAATGTATTAAAAGCACGTTTAATTGTTTAATATTGAATCTTGATGTCATTCTCTTTTTTTGCTCTATCAATTGAAATAGTGGGAAATCAAATAATTGTACATGGCTCAAAGAGAGGCACCTTCAAACTAATAAAACATTTTTAATTCTGCCATGCATCGATTCTACAACAACACAATTAACACGTTTACAGCTATTACTTAATATTATCTAATGTAGACATTTATAACAAAAAAAGAAAGACATGGTCAAGATTAAGTATGAGGTCCTAAGGCTTGCACATTCAGAAGTAAAGGCTACAATCATTACTAGACCACATATTCAGCTTTAGACATCTGCATAACGTTGAAGTAATTGAAACCTCTCAGCTTAAACCGATAAGCAGCCCACATGCCTCTTGTCCACTGCAGGGCAGAAATTGATTGTCTAAGTATTTTGTCAGGCTGGATGATACACAGCTGTTGTTAGGAATGACACCCCCCTGTGGCCCTGTGGTCTCTCGTCTCCACTCACGACCCACACAGGGTCACGGGTGTCGAAGCTTGAGATGGAAATATCCTCCTCGAGGCTTTAGCAGATCTATGATTGGCAGCTCTCTCTCCTGATATGGCTGACCTTGGTAGCTGCAGGCCCTGAAGACGGTCTGTTGCTGAAGATGTTCCTGCTAAGTCACCTTCCTCACAGCTTACTCAATTTGTATGAAATGCAGCAATGACTGCTCCGGTAGTGGAGGATGTAGGGTGTAGCCCGCAGAATCATGAATAGATATCAGAATTACAAGATTCATGGCGGTGAGTGTTCATAACTCCAAAAGATAGCCAATAACATGCAACACAGCAAAATGGTTATAGTCTACATAATACCATTCTGATTATCAATAGTAATTTCTTATCCACTCTACTGTTATGTTATACTTTACTTATTGTTTTACAAACAGTTTACATCTCTGTGTTTGTTGATATATATAATTCAGTATTCAGTTAATTTATTTGCAATATTGTCCATATATTTATATCATAAATCATATTTAAAATACTTATTTAATGAGCATTGTTGGGGGGGATACTGAGATACAAGATTGTAATGGCCAACAACTTCATAAGTGTTGGCCATAAGAACTTGAATCCATAATAAATTGGTTTTGATGAAATCTTGTCTTCATCATAAGGGCGCTGTTATTTCAGACGAGTTACAGTTATGACCACCAGAGGTTTTGGAAACAGGACAATATCTTTTGAAAAAGACAAGAAAGCCCCTACAAAAACAACTTTAATTTAGATCACCATTCAAATGTTAGCATGTTGAATGACTCTTCCACAGTTAAATATAAATGTACTCGATACAGTTTGTAACATTTCACAGTAGTGTCTATAGTAATATTGTCAAATGAACGGTTTAAAAAAAAGTCTAGGCTTAGTTTAATTTGAAACAACACTGCCACCTCAACACAGGAGGGCGTCCGAGAGTCTCTTCCTCCATGTAACTCTATAGTGTGTGATCAGTAAAGGCAGGAAATGAAACATAAGTAATTAACATTTCTGAGAAGGTAAGTCATCTCTTTAAGTGAAACATCAGAAGAAAAACAGAAGACCAAAATACTTAAAAGCATATAATTTCCAAGCCAATATAAAAGAACCAGCGAGCGTCAATAAACACAGAAACCACAAGAGATGAGAGGTCTTACAGTATGCTCAAAAACAACTTCCGTCATGATGAGAATTCAAAGATGAGTATTATGTTCTGGTATTTGACTCAATGTGTTATTGATGCTGTAAGAAGTTCAACAATGGAAACTGCCCAAAAAGTATTACCAGATGTAAGCTATTAACTATTAAGAACAGTTTATTTAGAATACTTGGTTTAAGAATTTACTATGGCAATATTGTATTCAACCAAACATACAATAATTAAAAAAGAAGGCAAAAAAAACCTATTGCTTTGTCCTAATCAAATAGTAGTTCGGAGGGAGCAGTGGTGGAAGAGGAACTCAGTTGTTGTACTTTTGTAAAAGTAGAAATAAAAACAAGGGTAAGAATATTCTGTTGAAACTTATTTCAGTATTGATTATATTTTACATTATCAATCCAAATCAGCAAAGTAAGTAGAGATATTAAATACATGTAGTGGAGTAAAAGTACCATATTTACCTCTGAATTGAGGTGGAGTAGAAGTACAAAGTAGCAAAACATTGAAATACTCAGGTAAAGTACCCAAAAAGTGTACTTAAGTACAGTACTAGAGTACATCTTAGTTACTTTACACCACTGGGAGGGAGACAGCACTACATTTAAAATGTATTGAATCGGTCTCAAGACACTTTAGGATGAATCCAAAAATGGTTCATGACGTATGATGTCATTTTGATTATTTTTATAGATACAAAATGATGTATCACTTTAGACAGGAGTCAGGACCCTATTACTGTTTGTAGCGTCCCCAGCTGAATAATGGTCATACTCTCGAACTGATGGTATCCTTTTATTGTACACGTGTGCATGTATACATTAAGTATCAACGTAGGCTACCAACGTAAGAGCTAAGACAAGAAAGAAAACACAATCATTAACCACCATCTCATAGATAAAACATCTCAATTTCTTGCATTTATAAACGTTACATTTATAATACAAACTAAATAATGCAATTATAGCTCACTACTGCCCCCTAACTAACAGAGCAGAACACATGTAGGCTAGGCTAATATAGCAGTTTTGCTAATTCAAAAGCATGGACTCAAAACTCTGCAAAACTACAAAATAACACAAGTAATAACAAACCTTTTGCCCCTATCAGCCAGGTGCTAAAAACCCAACATAAATAATTATTTAATGTTAATTGATCCGTCATTCATCCGTCATTACAGGTGTTTATGGGCTGCGTTTCACTTCGGTTAAATGGATTCCTTAGAGGCTTCTCAATACTCAAATTTCCCCTCCTCGACTCCCCTCCTCGGTTCCCCTCCTCGAGACTTAAACCCGCCCACAGGAGATGCGAGCGGAGGACCGAGGAGGGGAAGCAGCAGACCAGGGGCGTCGCCTGGGGTAGGCATCCGGGGCTAAAGCCCCGGATGTTTTTTCTTTAGCCCCGGACAAATTCTCCCTCAATAATATAATACATTAACCTACTTTACCTATAGGACGGACGGCAGAAGTGTAATTTCCCATGTTCAGTGAATGCAACACAGAGGCAAGACGACGCCACCAGACCAATCAGAGAGTTGCATGGAAATAAACGTGTTTTATTGGCTGACAGGTACGTTCCTCTCCTCTGTGACAATGTTTAAACTTTAAACTTTCAGCCCCGGACGCGGAGATTCTGAAGATGGACATTAGACATTTCTTTAATAAAAAAGACGGCAATTCTCAAGTGGTGGCTCACACAACAACCCCAGAGCCACCACCTGAGCCAGATGAACAAGGTATGTACCTGTCAGTAAACTTACAAGCTATGCGAACATGTAAGCAAAGCATACATTATAGCTACGTTGACGTTACTTTGAATCGCGCGGGTAAGCTAAACCGTTAGCAAGTAGCTATAGCTAGCCAGATATATTAAATAAACACTGTCATACAATCTAAATGTTGTGTTTTTTAGCGTTACTTGGTGATTTCAAAGAAAGCTCTCTGGGAAATGTTGACTTACTGTCTGTGTTCGACATGAAGCTAGAAGCTACCTTACAGTACACAGTTGATCCTGATTCCTGAGTCCTGTCAGTTAAAGTATTTCATAGTTAGCTTAGCTAAGCATCAACCTAGCACTGAAATATATATGGATGTTATGTGACAGTATTTGAGAAAAAGTCAGCTGAAATGGTGGCATAGTTGCCACTGCTTTACGTGTGGACAGCATGTTTGAACGTATTTGCAGCAGTAAATGTGGCTGTCTGGCCACTGACGTTGCCATAACAACACCTGCATTTAAATGTGCAACCTCTTTTTGTGACAGATTTTGCATGAAAATATAATTCTTCTAATTTATATTTCCTATTGACAGCTAGTTTCTATGTGAACATTATGAGATGGACAGCCAGCTAACAAGCTTTTTATACAAATATTTCAGATCAAAGCCAATCCAGTGGGGCTCCTGAAAGGGGGAAGGGACACTATGCTCCCAAATATTAAGCCTTGACCCCCATCTTAAAATTGATATGATCAAAAAATGATCTGCATTGTCGGAGGCCTTTTTTCCTCATTATCATGTCAAATTGTACAGCTTTCCTTAGTGTTGAATGCAGAAAGATGACTATATTAGAGTATTAAGTGAAAATGACTATATTAAAGTTTTAAGTAAATATATTAAGTGAATTACTCAAACTGCATTTGTATAGGAATGATTCTGTCCTATTGGCAGATAACTACTCTAACAGTGATATCTACAAGAGATGTAAATTTAACTATTTTCAATTGGTTAGTATTACATTTTGTGACAGTGTGGTGACACTCATTTTAATGAAGACAAATGTGTGTATTTTGAAATTCATTTATTTGACAGAGCTGGAAACTGATTGACTTACATACTTGTTTGTGTTTACCTACACAGTCATCACAGATGAGCCAAACAGAGTAGAGGATGAAGAAAGGAGAACAGGAGAAAGGACACACAAGAAGGAGATACAACAGACAAGAACGACAATGGAGACAACAATGAACAGGAACACCAGAACAGACAAGAGTCAATGGGTAACATGACTGATTTAGGGACTGCAGATACAGGGCCAAGGCAAGTGAGACATCACTGCTTTCCATCCAGCATGTTTGGCCAGCAAAAGAGATCATTTCAACCGCAAACAGCAAGAGATGAGGGATTATTATTTCCTCCTTCCATCCATTTTTTCTGTTTAATCTGATTACTA